TGTGTGCGTGGGAGGGGAGGAGGGAGATGGGGGAATCCCAGGTGCTGAGAGGCTTTGCTAAAAGCCGCCATCTTCAGAGTGTTTCTGTTTTGCCTGGAGACAAGTCTGTGCTGGAAAGAGACACTCACTGGGAGGCGTTCATGCTGAGACCTGCCGCTGTGAGACGGGAAGCTCAGGAGTCCCCCAGCAGAAGGAGGGGGATGGTGGGGAGAGTCTGAGCCCACTCCTGCCTAGGGCCTCCACCTCTCTGCCCTCTCAGACTAATGATGCTAAGATGGAAGCTAAACACCTCCCCAGGAGAAATAGAGCATCCCCTCTTGTTCAAGGATCCCCACTCTTCCAGGCAGGATGAGTGTTTTTTCAGGTGTAATTCAATTTTCTCACCTGGCCCACGCAGCTGTCACCTGTCCAGAGTGAAAATGATGGTCCTCCAAGGTGCACAGGTCAGGTTGCTTCTACACCCTTGCCGGGTGCTGCTGTGTGCCTGGCATTGCATTTAGTTGTTGGCGTGGCCGGGGCGCAGCTGTCCCCCTTCCATCAGACACGGTGATCCTGTTTCCCCTCTTCTGGTCACAGTGCCTCTTCTGAAGCCATTGCCCCCAGCTCAAGCCCTGGCTGGAGAGTGGCAGTGGTGGGTGCACCTGGGGCCACGGAGGTGGCTGGGATGAAGAAGGGGTTCTGGCAAGACAAGGGCCTTTGAGGGTTGGAGGCAGAGGGCCCCTGAGGGAGGGGGCAGTGGGGCCAAGAAGGGCCTTATGGGGAGAAGAGAGGCCCCAGGTGAGAAGAGGGACAAGGAAATGGAAGATATTCTGGAGAGACAGATGCAGAAACGAGGAGCTCCATTCTGGGTGCTTCCATCCTCCCCAGGCCTCTTGGGGCTGTGCCCCTCTTGTCCCAACAGGGGTGTCCAGGAGGGGGCCAGGATTTGGACTCCTGAGGCCCAGTGGAATGCAGGTGAAGCTCTGACTTCCTTCCTGAGGGCATGGGGCCAAGCCGGTCCTCTCTGGATCGTAGCTAGCGCCCTGCACCCCACATGGGGCTGGCCCCCATGGCAGCTCCAAGAGGTTGGCCTTGGTGGATGGAATGTGCCACCAGGCCACCACTAGGAGGCACTTTTGTTTCATCTGACTAGAGTCAGCTTCTAGTGAGGAGGAAGGGAGAATGGGGCGCTGTTGCACAGCACTGAAAGGGACCCCCCAATGTTGGATGTTGCCCAGGTCTCCAAGCTCACGCCCAGGACCAAGCTTGGGTCCCTCTACTATTGGGGGCGAGTTTTGCTTAGTGAAATGTTCAGACAGCCTTCTCTGCAAGCCGGAGCCCACCTCCCAGTGAGGGTCGGGAATCTCCCCTCCCTTTCCTTATTTAATCCAGTGGCCTATTTCCTGGGCCTCAGGTAGCTCTCTGTGGGCTAGAGGTGGGCGGTCTCTTAGAATCTCTGTTTCTGCTGACTCCAGGCCAGAGCATTCTTATCAGTTTCAGAGCTTTGCATATTCATCAGCAAGGAGCTTAACTGGCTCTAGGACCAGGTCCAGAGTGACAGGGCTGCGGTGGGAACTGAGGCTGGGAGGCCCTGCTCTCCTGCCCCCTCCTTGCCTCTGTGTGGTTGTGCAGGCCTAGACTCCAGACTCTCACGGGCGGGGCCACAGTGCGGTCTTACTCACGGTTGCTGTTTCCTCAGCCTGGAACCCCCAGCAGGCTTTGTTCCCCTGAGTCCTGCTGCCCTTCGCCATCCAGTAGGCCTGCCCCTCCTCCTGGGGACCTTCCCGAAGCCCGGGACTAGGTGGGACCCTCAGTTACATTGGATTCACAGCAATCCTCCCATCAGTCATTCCCCGTTGTAGGTCTGTAAGCCCTGCGAGGTATGGATTGGGGCCAGGGCCCCATTTAACAAACAAACAAACAAACAGCTTGGTTGAGATAGAGTTCACATGCTATGTAATTTGGTCATTATTTTTTATTTTTATTCTTAAAAAGTTTTAAAACTTCTTTATTTTAGAAAGAGAGCAAGTGTGCCAGTATGGGGTGGGGTGGGGGAGAAACAGAGGGGGAAAGAATCTCAAGCAGATTCCCCGCTGAGGACAGAGTGGGCCTCCGGGCTCCACCCATGACCCTGAGATCATGGCCTGAGCTGCAACCAACAGTCAGATGCTTAACTAACTGAGCCACTCAGACACCCATATAATTTGCTCATTTAAAATGTACAGTTCGGGGGCTCCTGGGTGGCTCAGTTGGTTAACCAACTGCCTTTAGCTCAGGTCATGATCCTGTAGTTCCAGGATCGAGTCCCACATTGGGCTTCCTGCTCAGCAGGGAGTCTGCTTCTCCCTCTGACCCCCTCCATGCCCTCTCTCTCTCCTCCATTCTCTCTCAGATAAATAAATAAAATCTTTTTTAAAAAAGTAAAGTAAAATGTACAGTTTGGTGGTTCCTGTATATGCTTGGACATAGGCGACCATCACCATCGTCAAGTTTAGAATATTTTCACCACTTCAAATGGAAACTTTTACTGCCACCCCCCCCCATTCCGTCATCTCCCTCCAGCACTAAGTTACCACTAATTTGCTTTCTGCCTCTAGGGATTTCCCTATTCTGGAATTTCATAGGAATGGAATAATAGAATATGTGACCTTTGTGTCTGGCTTCTCTTACTTATCACAGTGTTCTTAAGGATCACCCATGTGGTACCATGTGTGAGTCCTTCATTCCTTTTCATGATGGAGTAGTAGTCCATTTGGGGCTCTATGACATTTTGATTTTCCACTCATCCATTGAGGGACACTGGGGTGGTTTCCACCTTCTGGCTGTTGTGTATGACGCTGCTCTGAGCATTCACATACAGGTTTTTGTGTGGACGCATGTTTTCATTTCTCCTGGCTGTATACCTAGCAGTGGAACGGCTGGGTCCTATGGCAGCTCTCTGTTTAACGTTTTGAGGAACCGGCAGAATGTTTTTCAAAGTGGCTGCAACGCTTCACACTCCTTACCGTGGGCTCTAGGTCCTGTGTCTGAGTAACTCTGCCTTGACTGGAGCTGTCTTGTTTGTCACTGTCCCTCGCCTCTGGGTGGCCGGACCCATGCCAGGTGCTTGATAAATACATAGTGAATGAATGAAAAGGTGAATGAATGGCACCCTTTCAGTTTATACTGCCCTCGACTTCCGCCCAGATGCTATCCTTACAACCTTCTCAGTGAACCTCGCTCTGACCCCCTTTCCGGGCATAATCATTAGTTGCCTTTTCTGGTTGCTCCCATATTCTCTGCCTCTCATTATCTATGACTCCTCTGGGAGGCCAAAAGTCCCTCTGGGGTTAAGAGAGGGTATTAGTCACCTCTGTATCACCAGGTTCTAATGCAGGGGTTGGCACAGAATAAATGCTCTGCATGGGACTGTGGGGAGAGGGAAGTTGTACCCCAACACACAGGAGCCACAAGGGGGGTTTGTCATGGGGAAGTGTTCTAGGGGATCAGTGAGGCAACAGGAAGGATTTGGGGCAGAACTGCTACTACCAAGGCTCATCTCCTGGCCTCAGGGCTCCCTAAGAGGGATGGGGGACTAGAAAGTTCTCCTCCCTGTCTGCACAGCTTTCCCCTGCGCCTGACCTATCCTGAGACTGGTCCAGGATGGGGAGGCAGAACATGGGGCTTGGAGGCTGCTAAGTACTGACATGATCGGGGCCCCACAGGATTTCTCTGGGACACGTGCAAGGGACCATGTGGTGAGGAGACCCATGTGTATAAGGCCATGGTTTTTAACATGGTGAGTGACTTGTTGTCTATCGGGGTGTGGTATGCAGGTCTTAAATGCAATTTGTATGGATCCACATTTATTCCACAGGCTGTTTGCAAATCATTCATATGTAGCTTTTCCATGTGGATGATGACCTTCATTTCCACTCCCCAGCCCGCCCAGCTCCCAGCTCCCAAAGGCTGCTCATTGGTTCCCCTCCAGCCTTCTTGTACCCTACGGAGCTGAGTGAATAATCTTGACTCCTGCAGCGCGTGAACGGTCAGTTTATTGGGAACAGACAAGACCAGAGGCTTATGGCAGAGATGGTGGCTCCCTGGGTGGGGTGGGGGGTTTCTGCAGGAGGTTGCATGAGGAGCCTCTGGGGAGATTGGGTCAGCACCACACATCCTTCCCTGCAACCCCTGAGCCAAAGCCTCCCAGTTTGGAGGTAGCCCCACATCACTGTAGCTGGGAAAACATGTTCACATCAGATCCAAAGCAAGAGGACCTAAAAGGAGGGGGAGCAGGACCAGAGCGAGGAGGGGGTGGGGAGGGCTATGTACAGAGGGTGGGGGAGGAGCTTGGTTCCATTGAGCAGATGATATCAGCTTGTGATTGTCTCTCCATCCAGGAAGTATTCCAAGTCCCTTTGCCTTTGTTTTGGTGTTTCCCCGTCAATGGGGCTCAGGAAAAAAGATGTATTTTCATAGTGTGAGCTCAGCACTTGAGTTGGTGAATTACTTCCCAAAGACCACCTCTGGATTCTGCGTGCCAATCAAGAGGACCTTTAACAGATCTCAAGTGATTCTGAAATGCTGGCCCTTGGCTTTGGAAATCAGAATAGTATTTTTGGAGTACCTCTTTTTGATCATTGCAATAGTGCATGTGTTAGCCAGATGTTAAAAGAAGTTCATTTTTCTTAGGTGCTTTGAGAGCCAGACGTAAGGGAGGTGGGGAACTTCAGGGGTTAGGAGTGGGATCCTGGCTTTGTGGGAAAACTTTCAGGGGATAATCCACAGAGCGGAACTTTGATGTGTTCCCCACCGAGGGCCTAGCTTGGGGTCCGCACATGGCTAAGTGAAAGGTGACCCATGGAGAGGCCTGAGGGGTGCCTCTCAGCAAAAAACCTGAGGGAAAGCTTTGGTCAATACAGGAAAGTGGGGTTTGGGAATATCCTTGTCTTCAGCCCTGGTCGGGGGACAACATCTAGGCTGGGGGTGGAGGGGTGCTGGCACCCTGTCCCTGGGCTTCCCGCCTCGGGGACCGGACTGTGCTAATACTTGTGGGAGGAGCTGCTCCCGGCCCCTAGCTTCATGCAGGAACTCCGCGTGCTCACACAGCTCAGCAGCCCCTGGGGCTCGCAGGGGACATAGACCTCACCAGTGCCCACGACGCTGCAGGCCCCGTTGGTCTTGAGGACACTGGTGCCCCCCGGGCAGTACTCGGTCCTCAGCACGGGGGTGCTGACCACACAGGGCTCGTAGAGGACCGCGCCTTTGGAGCTGCTCACGGCTGTGGAAACAGGGAGTGAGGCTCAGGGTCCCTTACTGTGTGGCTAGAAGGGCATGGCCCTCAAACCTCTCAGCCAGACCGTGTCCCCACCTGCTGCCGCTCACTGACAAGCATACCCCCATTCCAGCCACCCGCTTCCCACACTAGCCACAAAAAGTGCTTAGAAGCTCTCCTCTTTCCCCACAGCCTTGGTTTCTGCTTCATGCCCTCAGTTTCTACTTGTCTGAATCTGCTTTGAAACTGCTTTCTCCAGAAAGGCAGTCTCTTGTCATGAGAGTTCCCCGCAGCTTCCGGGGCCCCACAGCCCTGAGGCCCTGTTGCTTCTCTGCTCCTCACATAATTCTGACTTCCCCTCCATCTGACTGGGAGCTCCTGGCAGACAAAGCTCCTTCTTGGGGTGGGGGAAACATGCGGAAGTCTGGGCCAGGGTGCTGTGGTCTTGTCCTTGTCGGGTGGATCAGCCCCCACGACCCCAGAGCCCCAGGGGAGTACACAACTACTCACAGATATTCACGGGCCCGATGCCTTCGCACAACCTGGAGGAAGAGGAAAGAAGACACAGGGTAACTGCATCAGAGAGAACAAGCCCGATAAACACGGGGCACCCCTCCTCCTGCCCAGGCCGCTGCCCCCACCGCTGTGTTCAGGAGGAGGGCCTGAGGATTCTTGGCTCTTTGGGACTTTCCTTGACTGTGGGATGGGCCGTCGCAGTGCAGCCTCAGCAGTGACCAGAGGCCACCAGAGGCAGGTGAACTTACCCTTGGAGCATGGATGGCCCTGACCCACCTGTGTTCCTCGCCCTCCAGCAGCCGCCTGTAGGTGGCGATCTCGATGTCCAGGCCCAGCTTGGAGTTCATCACCTCCTGGTACTCCTTGAGCAGGCAGGCCATGTCCTGCTTGGCCTTCTGCAGGGCCTCCTCCAGCCCTACCAGTTTGCACTTGGCGTCACTGAGGGCCGCCTCACCCTGCTGCTCCGCCTGGGTCACCGCAGCCTCCAGCTTGCAACGCTGCGGGAGAGGGCACAGCAAGGCGTTACTGGAGTCCCCAGGAGCGCCAGGCTGACTCTCAGAAGAGCAGGGAGAACATGGTCATTGTGAGATGATAAAAAATACATATATGGATCTCTGCCCCCAGTTCCTGGCACAGAACTCCCAAATCCTTGTAATTTCACAAGTGATAAATAAAGAGCATTAGGAGCATCCTTTGATTTCATATTTGGTCTTTGACCCTGGGTTCTGACACAGAGTTCTCTGATCCCTTGGGACTCCTGGATGGTAGCAGTGTCTTTTGTTCTAATGAGGTGACTCTGGCTGAGTCTCCAATGGCTTCTGGATGAGGGCTGCTCGCCAGAAGGACCAAGTCATGACTAGAAGCTTGGGGTTTTCAGCCCCACCCCCTATTCCCGGAGAGAGGGGAGGGGCTGGAAATGGACTTAATCATTGATCATGCCCAGGAGAGGAGGTCTCTATAAAATCCCAAAGTCTGGGGTTTGCACAGCTTTCAGGTTGGTGAGCACGCAGAGGTGGTGGGACGCTCACATGCCCAGAGCGTGGCATAGAAGCTCCATGATCTTCCTGCCTACCCTGCCCTGTGCATCTCTTCCAACTTGGTGTTCATCTGTGTTCTTTATCATTGCCTTTTATAACAAACTGCTAAACAGTAAGTAAGCTGTTTCCTGAGTTCCGTGAGCCATTCTAGTGAATTAATCGTACCTGAAGAGGGGATCACGGGAACCTCCGATGTATAGCTGAGGGGTCACAACCTGGACTTGCGGTCGGCATGTGAAGTAGGGGCAGTGAGGTGGGACCCTTACTCAGTGGGATCTGACCCTCTCTCCAGGTAGATAGTGTCTGAGTTGAGCTGAACCGTAGGACACCAGCTGGGGTGGTATAATTGCCTGGGTGGGCAGCTTTGTGAGTGTGGGAGGAAGGTGACACTCATGGGAACACATAGGAGGAGGGAGATTTCCTTCACAGTCATGGGACCATGCCAGATTCAAAGCTGCTGAACCTTTCAGCCCAGGGTTGTGACATCTGTTTCTTCCTGAGATGTCGGACCAACTTCTGTCTATAACAGCTCAAGGAGGTTTGAGCGATTTCTTTGGGGGCTCATAGATTGGAAGCGTCTGGCTGGTCTTCATCAGCCTGGGAGAACAGAGTGGGTCTGCATTTATGGACTCCTGGGAGTCGTCTGGAATTTCAGGATCACAGGACTGGAGTCTTTGGGTCCAAAGGAACCATGTCAACCATGTCAACCATCGTTTCTGTGCCCCCATTGAGGGGGGTACCCTTGCTATTTCATCTATGACCAAAGGTGACCTAGTGTCTGTCGGGACCTTGCTGTTTCCTTAGGTTGCTCCCGCTGTTGGTCAGCGTTTTTAGAAAGGGTTTGTTCCCTCGTAAGCAAGGGGCACAAGTTCATTCCCACTTCCAAGTGCTCCCAGGGAGAATGGACCCACCCCCAGGACCAGTTGTTGAGGAGCCTGTGATGGGGCCTCAGGACCATGGCTTTCTCGTCTCACCTGGGCTTTCACGTTCTCAATTTCTTGCTGAAGCCGCTGAATCAGCTTGTTCATTTCCAGGATCTCGTTCTTGCGGTTGCGGAGGTTGTCACAGTGGTTCCCAGCTGTCAGCCGCAGCTCCTCATACTGCCAGGACCGGGACAGGGAGGTCAGAGCCCTGGGTTCAGGCACCTGCACCACGGTGCCTCGCCACCCCTGTTCTCACCGTCCAGGGTCTCTCCTCCAATGGTTTCCTAGCTCAGGGCTCTCTGGGTTCTTATGCTTGTTCTACTCTCCATCCCCTTTCCATTTCTTGTCAATTTTGGGGTCTTTTTCTGGGCTGCTTCTTATTTCCTTCCCCAACCCTAAAACTTCAGGCTTATTAAATGCTCCTCTAAGCTCTCCTTTTCTCTGTTTAGCTGTTCTGTGGCTCATCTTTTTCTCCCAAGCCCAGAGCCCCAGGGTCTCTGGAGGGCTCCTTCCCCTTTGGAGTTCCCTCCAGATCTTAGAAGGGGTTTCTGTGCTCAGTCTGGGATGCCGGACAGATCTGGGAGTAAGGACAGACCATGTCTACCTCACTAGGGTGAGTACCTTCGTACATTCTCCTTCAAAACAATAGAAAACAATATGCAATGCTGCTTCCTACTTTGACTTAACATTTTTAAAAAAAACTTTGCTACCTTTGCAGCTCCAAATTCAATTTCTGAATAACGTTTTATTAATTTACATCTATAGATTAAAACAAGTAGCTAACTTTAGATTTTCCACATAGAGAAGGCAAAACAAGTGATAAGAAAATCATTCTCTTTGGCTCTTTTGTTGTTTGGCTGTTGTGACAAAGCCTGCAGTTGCCTTAGCAATACACACTCTCCTCGTCTTCCAACAGAACTCTGCTTTTATTTGGGGTGGCAGTGAGCCCAGATAAGAGAATATTTATTGGACTTTTCATTAATGAGATCTATGGGTAACACTCCAGGAAAGCTGTTTAAAGTGGGGGATGACCCAGTTGGCATGTTTCTTTTGCCCTGTGTTCTTCCTGCTTGGAATGAACATGTGAGATCAGTGATAAGGCAGCCTTATTGGGCCATGAGGCAACCGTGAGGATTACTGCAATTTTAAGGATAGCAGAACAGAAAGCGAGAAGAAGCCTGTGTCCCTGATGGGAACATAGAACCCCCGTATCATCTGTGGGCAGTCTGTTTCTGTAACCTCTTTGAGGACAGGGATGGTGTGACTCTTAGTACCCTCACGGTGCCACACATTTCAATAAGATCGTCCTTCCCTGGCGACCCTATTCAAAATCTCATTCCCACAACACTCCCTGCACTTCATGCTGATCGATTTTATTCAAAGCACACATCACCATCTAGCGTACCCCAAGATTACTGATTCAATACCTTGTGTATCGTCCGCCCCTCCCCCACCCTGCCTCTAGAATGAAAGTGACTGGAAGGCGGGGTTTGCTGTCTATTCTGTCTCCTGCTGGAATCCAGCAACTAGAACAGTGTTTGGAGTGTGATGGATGCTCAATAAACAGTCGTTGGATGAATAAATGACTGAGTGAATGAATGCATGGTGCCTTTCACAGACAGGACCGGTGAGACAGAGATGATAATATTTGCAAAATCAAATTGCCCTTGGGGGTATCCATCTCTGTCCCAGCAAGCCCCTAATTGCCTAAGTCTGGGGCCGCCTTAATGACCGCTCCTGCCCTGCCATTAGTGCCCACTGCACCATTAGCCTCCTTCACGCCTTGAAGCCCAGGGCCCTCTTTGCAGTCATTGGCAATTAGTGCTTCTCGAGCGAAGCCTAAAGGAATACTTCCAGTGTCTGTGCGTGGGTAAAGGTGGGAAGCCCCAGCACCCTGATGACAGGCTTGGGCTGTCCGTGGGGTCCCCTCCCACATGCTCTGCAGGGACCTGGCAGAAACAACAGGACCTCAGGGTTTACAGGGTTCCCTGTGATTGTGGTGTGACACAGCCCTTGTTATCATCTCACTCAGTCCCTAGGGGAGGCGGGTCTGGGGTCCCAGCCAGGCCCTGCCCAGGTCCTCACCCGGCTCTGGTACCAGGCCTCGGCTTCAGCTTTGCTGCGGCTGGCAATGTCGTCATACTGGGCCTTGATCTCAGCAATGATGCCATCCACATCCAGCTCCCGGCTGTTGTCCATCTTCACAATGACGGAGGTCTCAGAGATCTGAGACTGGAGCAGGCAGATCTCCTGGGTGGGGGGCACGTGGGAATGCGTGAGCATTTTGAGGACCAAAGTGGAGGAGTGGAGGACGGAAACAGCTCTGACTTTCCCATAGCAGATTTGCATAGGAGTTTGCATAGCTGTCCTGAGTCTTCCATCACCAACCTGTTCTTCATCCCCCCACTAGTTGCACAGACTCAAGAGCCAACGTCTGGGCCCTCTGACTTCTGGGAGTCTCACTGCCTGAGAATTTCTTCCCATGCTCACTTTTGAGTCAGCTTGCCCTGGACCATACCCGCCAGTGGAAGCCCTCCCGCTCCATCGTGCCCATGGAACTGGCCCCTGACCGAGCATCTGTGGGCAGTGGGGCTGTAGGTACCTCCTCATACAGGCCTTTCAGGAAGTCGATCTCCTGGACCAGAGCCTCCACGTTGGTCTCCAGGTCAGCCTTCATCAGGAAGGCTGTGTCCACATCCTGCGGCCAGAGCAGGGACAACCATAATCTGGGGCCCAGGGAACAGGTGAGGCCACCCTCTCCTCTCATTGGGTCCCCTCCCAGGCAAGCTGGTGGCAGCTGAGGGACCTAGGTGTAGGCGCATGTGGAGGTGAAAAGGTGACAAAGCCAAGGATGGAGGGGAGGGGCCCCAACCCCAGGACCACATGCCTGGGCCTGGCACCCTGATGGGGAAGGATCTGTTGGAGTAGGTTTTGAAGGATCCTTGAGTGCAGGTTCTCAGAGCCCGCTGTGTGGTGCACAGGCCATAGAATACCTTGGTGTTTATCTGAGAAACCATCGCTCTTGTTTTCCTCTTTTGTGTCAGAGTCAGAGTTTTTGTTTGGTCTTCAGTTTGGCATTAGCTCTACCTCCAACTTCTCGGGCAGGTGTAGACACAACCCTAACCAGGTCAGGCCCACATGCGTTGGGAGGTGGAGGCCAGGTCAATCACTGCCCTTCTGCAAGAAGTGGGGGAAGGTTGGCTTTCCTCTTTCCCAGGGTCGGTGAGGTTGGCCCTGGGATCCGAGAGGCCCTGTCGGGGGTGGGTGGGCTGCAGACACATTTGGACCTGGTCAGTGTCTGAGTGTGGTGAGGCCACCTGGGCCAACTCGGGGGGCCTTCTCTCTCCCTGTGCCCTCCCTCACCTTCTTCAAGGCAACAAACTCATTCTCAGCACAGGGCCGAAGGGAGAGCTCCTCTTCATACCTAGTGGATGGGCAGGAAGAAATATTTTAGTCTGGCCTGGGGGTTCAGAAGTGGCCCAAGGGAGGGAGACTGGGGAGCAAACCTGCCTCTCAGTAACTTAATGCCCTAAGGAGTCGCCAGGCCCAGTCCTCATCATCATCAGACACCTGTAGCTCCTCTGACCACTCAGGACAAACGATTGTCATCCTAGCCTCTCATTAGCCACTGTACGTGTTGACCTCCCTCCCCACCCCAGGTAGCCCATTCCTGTGATTATCATCTTCTGGGAAGTCCTTCTCCAGGCCACCTCCTTTCCTTGTTGCTGCTAAGGAAGCCCACGTCATGCAGTTGCTTCCTCTGGGAAGGTGGTAAAGAGTTGGCTGCCTTCTCTGAGTTGTTCTCAGTTTTGGCTGCAAACACTGGAACCTCAGCCTGCCCCTTGCCCTCCCCGCCAGGAGAGGTCCAAGCCTGGCCTCTATTTGCCGAGGTAGCAATTACCCACTTCACCAGAGCTGTAGAGACAGCCTGGCCACCTCCAGGCTTCGAAGGAGCTCCCCGCCCACTCCCTGTCCCTCTGGGCAATGGAATCAGGGCCAGGGGGTCCAGTCTGGCGGGGATGACTCAGTCTGATGAGTGCTATTGATCCATTAATAGCCTCTCTGCGCTTCCTGACGCCCATCCTTCCTTATTCCAGCAGACCTCGGCCTCAGCATGGGCCCTGGGAGCTGGAGACTTCTGCCTGGGCGGGAATCCCAGCTCGGGCAGGTGCTAGTCTTGGGACTTTGGGGAAGGGTCCGGGGTGGGGGACTTTTCTGTGTCTCAGCTTCATTGTGTACAGAATGAGAATGACACTGGTCCAGCCTCATGTAGCTGCAGTGAGCTAACACATGCCACAGGTAGCGTCCGCCAAGCACTGGGCCTCTGGCATGGAGCAGAGGCTTCATAAGTATCGGCTGCTACTATCAAAACAGCATTTAGTCTCATCCTTCTACCCCCACTTGCCCAATCCAAAGTCCTCATCATGAGCTGCAAACCATGTGTCCTGCCCACCTTGTATGTTACCCACCAAGAAAGGCACTGTTCTGGTCGAGAGGGCTAGGCTCACTACATCTCACCTGTTGTGGTCTGCTGGAGTGGTCCTCTCTGACTTGGCATACTCTGGCCCTTCCTGTCCCCTGCTCCCACCCCTTCCCTTTCCCTGGAATCTACTCTAGACTCCCCTTTTGTAAGGCCCAACTAGAATGAAACTTCATCATGGCCCTGAGCAAAATGACACCTCCTCCAGGAAGCCTTCCTGGGCCCTGTCTGTGCCCTCACTGTCCTGGCATTCCTTTCTGCTTCTGCCCCGTACCCCATCGTAGCTGTTGGCTGGTGTGCGTGGAGGTCTGTGCAGGACTGGGGCATTAGGAGGGCGGGAGCCAGCTTGGCACAGTGTCTGGTATCAGGAAGGCATAGGACTGACCCCTGCAGCATGAGTGACCACCATGTGGCTCTATTCCACTGATGCACATCCCTTAGGGACTGTGGCTCTGAGCCTACTTGTACTGCTGCTTGTCAGTGGAAATGTGTCTCTCTCAACCCTCACCCACCAACATGTGCTCCCATGGGGCCCTGGACCAGAGACACCCACCTAGGACCTGTGAGGCAATGTATCCTGGCCTCAAGCTTCTTATAGGCGCTAGACCTAGTAGCCAGCAAGCTCCTAGTTAACATCTGTTTTGGCTCCCTTCTCCTGGGAGGCAGACTGGGAGCTTCCCTTGGAGAGGGCAAGTCTAGCAGGCTACCTGACCTTAACCACAAGCGCTGGGGACGTAGAGCCCTGCTCGTGGGGAGGGGGATGGCTTCCAGCTGTGGACTCTGAGGTTGAGGTCCGGGATCTGAGCATCGGGGAGTGAGAGAAAAGCGCGGGCCAGGTTAGCTTGGATGCAGTCCCAGGAGGTGCCAAGAGGGGTGTATCAGGAGGAAGGGACAGTGGGAGGAAAAGCACGGAGGGAAGAAGGTTTGGACTCCTGTTTGGGGAATAAGATATGGTTCCGGATCTGAACGGGGATTGCTAGAAGCTACAGCAGACCAGGTGGCCAAGCAGAGCCCTGGAGGGCGGGGAATGGCAGGAGAAAGAGCTAGTATTGCAGGGACATGGACAGGGCCTTATTGAGGGAGGGCGGCAGGAAGGGAGGTGAAGATCAATACACGATTTCAGAGCTTCTGGCGTGTGCCCAACGGGCAGTGTCCTAGCTGCTCTCTTGTGTTACCCCACCACACTGTTGCTGCTACCTGATCGACGAAGCTGGAGGCCTCCCACTGTAGAGATGGGGAAACTGAGGCCCAGGTTGTTGATGGAGCTTGCTCCAGGCTCCCTGGTGGGCTGAAAGTAGGCCACACTCACTTTTTCTTGTAGCTTTCCAGCACGTCCTGGAGGCTGCAGAGCTCGGACTCCAGCCTGGCCCGGTCCCCTGCCACGCAGTCCAGCTGCCGCCGAAGGGCAGAGATGTAGGCCTGGAAGATGGGCTCGATGTTGCTCTGACAGCACCTTTGCTGCTGCATGAAGTTCCACTTGGTCTCCAGCAGCTTGTTCTTCTGCTCCAGGAACCGCACCTGCCATCCAGATCAGGGAGTCACCGAGAGCAGGGAGCCCAGGGACCATAACAGGTGATGGGCTGGGTGGCCAATGGAATCAGCGTGTGCTCTTAATCCCAACACATTGCTGTCAATGTGCTAAAGTTTTCAGGTAAGTCTCCCTGCGTAGACTGGCCTGGGAGGATTTGTCTCCATGAATCCCCTGCCTGGGGGAGCTTTTATAAGACCCCCACTTACTCCCATAGGGGTCGCACGTTGTCATGGGAGGAGTAGTGTCCCGAGAGGTCTGGGACAGGTCCCCCTCCCAGCCCTGCCTGTCGGCCTCCCACGAGCCTTGCAACCTCGGCCAACACATCCTGTCCCTTCAAGCCTCTCGGCTTCCTAAGGTTTGTATTGTGCATGGGAAGCTCTTCAGGATTCTTCATATTAATGCAAGTGGGTGACGTGATGCCTGGGAGTTCAGGTTTTCTCTGGTCCCAGCCTGGGGGCATTCAGGGGAGGTCAGATCAAAAGCGTGGTCCTGAGACTCTAAGCTCTCTCCCCTGACTCTGATGCACCCTGCGAGGCTGTGTCCAAAAAACATCCCCATCATGGGAACATGGAGAGCTCCCGGCTGGCTTTTCCGTTTTGGTGACTTAGGAACCGAGAAGAGGAGAAGCTCAGTGAGCTGATCACGGCCACCCCTCTTAGCCATCGGCAGAGGAAACCAGCATCCCATCCTTGAAAGAAATCTGCAGAGGGAGAAACGTTGCCCTATTTCCGGGCAACGGCCGCATAACCAAGAGGCTCCCAGCCTCACGAAGGTGGTGTGATGTTGTGGAAAGTCAGAGCCCAGAACTTAACGAGCTTTAAAAATAAAACTGTAAGTGGAACAGTTCCCATTTACTGAAATGAGTTTCTTTTTGGAGCCCTTTTACGTATCTTACTTCTTTTGACTCCCCACCACCAAAGCCCCCTTCCCCACCAGGTAGCAAAAGCCCCGAGGCTGAGAAGTGAGACGTTTGCACAGGACCTCAGGGGAGCAGCCAGGACTGGAGCCAACACCAGGGCCCAGGCCTCCTGACTTCTGACTCTGGATTCTTTGCCCTATAGCCAGGGGTCAGCAAAAACACTGGCTCAGCCCCTGATCCCAAGAGCCTCCCTGGGGTGTGGAAACAGATGCAAAGGCAGCTGCTTGGGTTCCCAACTGGCCTTTCGAAGGCTGCACACCACCCTTCCCTGTAGCCTTTCGGAGCTGGGGTTTTGGTGACAGCGACTGTGTGCTCCCTGTGCTGACTGCTCTACCTTCTCCTTACACCAGGCCTCCTCCAGGGGCAAATCTGGGGTTGCAGTGCTCATCCCTGCCTCCAGGCCCAATGCTCTCACCCCAGCTCAGGCCCTCAGAAGGCGACTCTGTTGTCAAAGCCTCCTCTGCCTCATTGGTTTTTCTTTTCAGTAGCTATCATTGCTTTGGAAGTTCCTTTTAGAGTCTGACCTCACACAGCCCTGGTGATTTTCTCAGCTAATATTCAAAGGGAGATGACAAGAGAGTGAAAAAAGAATGAGCAGGAAGAAATGTCTAGCACTGAGCTGGATCTAAGCAGCTTTCTACGATTTGGGGGCGTCATCCACCGCGGCCTCTCAGCTGCCAACTTCTCCTTGGCCCTGATGCAAAGTGCTCTCTGTGTCTCCCAGCCCCAAGCATGGTTCCTCCCTGTTACCTTGTTGATGAAGGATGCAAAGCGGTTGTTCAGGCACTTAATTTGCTCCTTCTCATCCCTCTTCACCCTTTGCACAGCCGGGTCGATCTCCAGCTCGAGCGGGACCAGCAGGCTCTCATTGATGGTGACAGGGGCGATGCAGGGCGAGGACCCACAGGGGGCCCCCACTCGGTACCCAAAGCCGGGCAGGCCACACCTGGAGGCCACCCGGGGCCTCCCGAAGCCCACGTTGCACAGGCTCCGGGAGCCCAGGCAGCCCAGGGCGCGGAGGGCCCCCCCACCCCCGGACCGGCACGGCCCCTTGCTCACGGCATAGTGGGTGACCATCCGGGGGAGGACAGCTGAGCAGGAGCTGAAGCTCCGACCACCGCATCGGGAGCCCAGCTGGAAGGAGCGACACGACATGGTGGGAGAGACGCAGAGAGGCGGCTGACGGGGACAGCGGGAGGACCGAGTTATCAAGCCAGCCCAGCTTCTCCACCTTTTATCTCGTTGGGGATGGAGGGCCAGGCAGAGTAAAACCCCAAATCACCATTAACAGGTTTATAAGCTTGGTCTATTGGCAGCTGCTAAGTACCAAGGTGGATAATTAGGGTAGCAAAGAGCAAAGGGTGGGAGCCAATGGGCAGTGCTGCTGTCCTCTTTCCTCGTTTATGGGGGCAATGAAAGCGGCCAGCCAGACAGACGTTTGGCATATTGGGTGGCTCAGCCTCAAGGAAAGGGAGATTTAGGACTTTATGCCATTTTGCGGTGAGGAGAGAGTCATGAGTTACACACCCTGGTTGCCCAAGACTAGAGGCCAAATTAATTATGCTTGGGGATGCTCTTTTCCCCCAAAGCTGCTTTTCTGAAGATGTGCCAGATCCAAGGGCCCTCCGTAGGCTCCTAGGTGTTTCTAGAAGCTCCCTGGGAGGGAGGATTTTGAGGTGGGAGAGGCCCCACAAGCAGGTTGGGACCTGCCCCTCCTCAGGCCAGGTGGGAGCCGGCTCTGGCTCAGTACCTCTGGGGCTCCCGACACGGACTCTTGTCTCTGGGGCCCGTTTAGCCCAAAAATGCCTGCAGAGGACTCAAGAGGAGGGGGAGGAAGAGATGTTCTCCCCAGGACCCCTTGGCCCCCCAAAGATGCGCTGATGATAGCCATTAGGTTGACATTATTTTGTCACTAGCTTTTTGCCTTTTGTCCCTACCCAATCCCCAGCCTCCCCAAGGTAGACAGAGCCTGCTCTAACCTGAGGACATTTCCAGGGACTGTTGTTGCCCTTAGGAATTGCTCAGATGGATGCGGGACACCAGCTTTCTCCCCAGCACCCAGGTCATAGCTCTTTGGAGATGCCTGAAGTGCCTCCGCCCCTAATTCTCTTCCCTCTCCCTTTCCATCAGTTCCCTCCATGAGACCTCTGCTGTCGCTGACTGTCTTTCCCTGCCATACTGCTTTTTTCCAGGTCACAATTAAGCCAAAATAATAATAATAATAATAATAATATTAGTATTTATTGGGCGTTTACTGAGTGCTGGGACCACCTCAAGCTCTACACCCACGTTCTCATTTAATTGCCTGACGGCACCATGATGTAGTTTCTGTTTTATAGATGAGAGTGATTAAGTAAATAACCTGAACCACACAGCGCATCCGTGGTAGACTGGGGTTCGGTCCTATTCTTTCTGTCAGCACCATGCTCTGCCGCTCTGGTGGAGAGAAGCCTGGTTGAGACTGTGAGTCTCCCGCCAATATGCATTATGTCTTCTCCGTTCCACCTGAAGATTAGGAGCCTGGAGCTCTATAGTTTTGGTCTAACTGTGCTATTTCACTGTCCCCTTCTTCCTAGTCTTGACTTTGGGTCCTAAAATGCTGGGGAGGGAAATTGAGGTTTGGGGAGGTCAGGGGTGTTGCAGAAGGCCAAGGGCAATGGTGGTAGGCAGAGGTGAGGTGGGGTGGGTCTTGTTGCATGATGGCAGGAGAGGGGGATTCCCATTCTGCCCTGGGGTAAGCGTCACAGAAGTTGGCCCAGGAGATGGTGTGAGAGTGGATAGTGACACTAAGAAACCAGACCGGAGAGCAGTCCCCCACCACTCCAAGGCCAGAGCGTGGTGCAGTGACATGTTGGGTCCCCGGGAGCCCGGGACCAGAGCTGGGGATCGGAGAGTAGGGGATTGTTGTCTGGATCTGTTGAAGGCAGAAGGCACCTACTCCCAGAAAACACTGGTTCCAAGGCTGCTCTCTGAATGTGAGATAAGACACAGACTCTACCAAGACCTAAAGAGCTCAGTGATACTTTATTGAAGCGGTTTCAGGAACTAGGCAGGCATGGGAAGTAGGCAGTTTGGGAAGGTTTGAGATAATCAGAGCAGGGTGACTTTTTTTCTGGCTTCATATCTCTCCTGGCTTCATGTCCACAGCTGACAGCCAGGCCCGGCTTGCCTTTGGAATTCATTTTGGTCTTGAGTGCATGGCGGGTGTTTTGAGAGCTCCCAGATCCTCAAGTAGGGAAACCACTCTGTGAAGGCAGGTCTTAGAAAGATCTCTGGGCCTATGCAGCTCCCCTCTTCCACCGCTCCTCTACCTCTGCTTCCTTCACGGGCCGAGCAAGCATCCTCTGAGAGCGAGCAAAGATGTCAGAGGAAGGACTGTCTCTCTCCCGAGTCTGCCCTCTTAGGCCTTCCCTGTGGGCATAGGGTTTGGTGGACTACCTTGAGAGTGCAGTTCTAGCCAGGCCTGGGGCACAGGCAAATCCACACCGTAGACATGTCACAGACAGGGAGATGGAAAAAGAAAGGTCAGGGGAGAGGGAACAGGGGTTATATTGCCAAATGGATGAGTGGGAGGGGAAGAAAAGAGAGTAATAAAGGAGCAGAGGGGAGGGATGAAGAGAGGAGACACACAGGGTTGCGGAGGAGGAGCAGAACAAGGAGGGAGGTAGAAAGAGCAAGGTAAGAAGGAAAGAGAACTTTCCAGAGAAGAGATATGGCTACCACAGAGCAAGGAGAAAGGAGCGAGGAGAAAGTCTCCTGAATCCTTCTGTGGGAGGATTCTCCCAGGGCCATTCTAACACAGGCTGACTGGGTTCCTTTTCCCGGTCATCTGCTGCCCGGCTACCTTCCCACACCCGGGTTAGCCTGCCTCCCTCCCACTCAGCAGTAGGGCGGTTCTGCGTGGGATGCTAATTCTAATAGTGGCCTAAATGAGGCAGAATTGAAAGGAATTCGGCTATGAACTATCACGGAGTGTAGCCCCAGGCCATGGAGAACTTTTGCCTTCTTGATAAAAATCATTCTATTCTAGTATGAATAATTGAGTTGGTCATATTTCAAAGGGTGTTGATTCCTTATTCCAATATTCTGATGGTGGGAGAGTGGTCAGGGGAAGTGGCTGGGGGCCCAGCAAGGGACAAGACGGGAGGAAGTGAGGACACAACATCCTGCTTAGATTTGCAGACTTCCCTGGTTGGAGGGGCTTGCAGGAAAGGATCTTGTTTGCGGCGAGAGAGCACATGCGTGGGAACTCTAGTCTATACTACACGCAACCTCTTTGGGGGCACCAAGGTCAATTCTAAGCTCCTTCCTCCCCCATAAAGGACTTTGGATGGCATGGATCTGGCTCTGGTAGGGAGGATGACCCTACGGTGCTCCAGCTCTGGGAGCTGCCGACGGGCAAAGTCCTAGCCCAGGTCTTGGCACAGAGGAGTTGAGTGGGCGTTAGTTGAAGTGGATGCCTGGGGCCCCTGGAGGGCCCTGGGATAAGGAGCAAGGGCGGGGGGTATCCCTGTGGGGACGCATCTGGAGGCAGAGGGATGGACAAGATGATCTTAGAACTCAAAGGCCACTTCCCACGCCTCCTGCTGTTGATTCTGTGCATGTGGCATCAGCAAAGCGGCAGGCCTTAGGGTGGGGGATCAGGGGAGTCTGGAGGCGGGAGCCTGGAGGGTGGGGCCCTTTAGCTCCTGTAACTCTTCTTGGTGGACGACGTCTTGGAGATGATGCGCATGCTGGAGCTGTTGCCGCTCATGTTGCGGCTGCTGGTGGAACTGAAACCGCCCCCGGAGCTGTAGCCCAGGCTGCTGCTGTAGCTGCCGCCTCCTGACATGCAGAGGCCGCCGCCTGAGTTGTAGCCAGTGCCCCCGCTGGAGGAGACCACGGCTGTGGAGACAAGGCACAGGGCATGTTGGTAGGCTCCTCTGGGTCCCCAGGAGCTCCCTCCCTGGGGGGGGGCTCCCCGCCCTGCCCCCAGAACAGGAATGTCCTGGACCCAGGGGCCGGGGTCTGAGAGGGTGGGCATGGACTCGCCATCCCCGTGACATGCTGCCCCCCCCTCCTGAGCGTCTGTAGAGGATGTTGCACTTTTCAAAGCACTTTCACAGCTGTGACCATGTTGGTCTCATCAGGCCGAGAGAACACCCATTACTACCATCACCTCTACTTTCCAGAGGGAGAATGGGGGTGCAGAGACATCAGGTGGCAAGTCCAGGGTCATACTTGCTGTGTCCATTTCTCGGCTGTACAGGGTTCTTGTACTGGATGGAGCACAAGGCCTCGTGTGCTGGGCAGGAGCATAGGCTCCCATAATGGAAGAGGCCGGAGGGTCACCTGGGTGGGTGTCCCCCAACTGCAATCGTTCTGACATATCACCGAGATGCAATGGTTTTTAGTGTCCACTTAACTACATTCAGTGACAGGGAGCTCACTACCATGGGACACAGCTCCCCACAGCCTGTCAAACATTCGAAGATGCCTCGTTGACCTCCCCTCTCTGTCTTAATGACATCTCTGCCCACATCTATCCCCAACACCTTGTTGTTAGTGATGCTATTGCTTCTGTTTCAATGCCCACTTTTTTATTATCCCAAGACATTTACTCACAGATATTCACGGGTCCGACACCTTCCCCAGTGAGTCTGTTGTGGGGGGGAAGAGGGGAGAGAAAGAGACATTTCATTTGCTGAGAAGTTGAAGAGCCCTGGGCTCTTGTGTCTCCAGCTGTCACTTTCATCTAGCTAATATGAACCTGCGAGGGGAATCTAGAAGAGAGACCAAATCAAAATACATAGAAATGGGGAGAGGGATGCGTGTTTGCTAGGTGGAGAGGGACACTTTGATTGTAGGCATCTCCAGCAAGCACAGAGCCCCAGTGGCCCATCCCCAGTGTAGCCTGGGGGCTGGGTAGGAATGGCTCTGCCAGTGGCCTTCCAAGTAGTCTTGGGCCACCTCTGCCTGACATCATCACCCCGATCCTCTGCCCCGGGTCCAGTAGCATTGGTGGGAGAGGCTGAGACTATAGGGTGCCTCTGGGGAAAGGCTGCATCTTAACTCTGTTTCTGCCTTTGGAATTTCTTCTGGGGCCTGACACTGGGGCTCTTGGTGTCTGTGGCATCTGTTTGAGCCACGGTGGGAGCCAAGGTTCTTGAGCAGCC